ATGATTCATATCTCATCTTGCTTAATCATAATTCGTTACTTCAACATGTACTTGACCTGACCATAATTGGCTCAACATTGGTAAACCACGAGTCGTATAGTTGCACTTCCTCGGGATAAACCCTCGTGCAAGTCATCCTCCTTAAAACATCATAATATCACCATGGGATATATATTTTCCAACTTGTACATCCAAATACATCAATCATGAAAAATCATACTCAATCACCTTTTCGAACCATCATAAGGCATATCAACAGTCAAGCCCACAATTTGCAACATATACAAAATCATCAGCATAACAAGGCCCATGTCGATTAGGACAAGTCAATAATATCTTATAGTAGTCCAGGGTTCATCATATCGCACAAAAGTTCATACACCCCTAATCATGCCATTCTAGTTCACCTAGGTCAATTGTAAGCATCAATATAATTATCGTGATACGACAAACCCGGTATGTCGTGCTAACCCTCACCAGTTCTGGTCATTCAAACGCCGGTTTAACCTTCCCGTACTAAAACGTCAATTTCAGGAACGAACCCCGAATTAAAATCTGAACCCCATCAATATTAGTTCTAGGCTCCGGGTCAAATTCTTGATAAAAACACATCAAACCCTGGCCGGAGCTAAATTCAGCGATCCCGGCTCCGACCTAAATAATAGCCGAAATTCATGGATTAGAGCTAGAGGATTAATTACCTCGCTGCAGGAAGCTCGTATATGAAATTTGGGCTCAATCCGGCTTCCGGATACTCCGAAACCCTAATTTGGCTTATCGAGAATTCAAGAAATTCCTGAACCAAAAACTCATTTTAAAGCTCTAAATCGATAAATCACGATGTATAGATGAATTAGTCATTACTTACGGGATTTTTGGATCACTATAGCTCAAGAATTGAGCTTTACAATTTAATTCCTCGCGTGCCATGTGCGCCTCTGTTTCTCGGTCCGAGAATGGAAAAAGGAATGAAGATGATAATGGACATGGTGGAGGAAGTTAATATACATGCCCGACCGCTTAATATATATATATATATATATGGTGGCCACTTCGGTGCACCCACTTTTTTGGGTGCACTGAACGCACCCACTTTTTTGTTTAATCTCAACCGTTGAACACATCTAACGGTTACAATAATCTCATTTATTTATAATTAATTATTAACTAATCAACTATATTATATTTATTAAAACAATTTTGTACTTAATTGTAATTGCAACTAGGCCCTTGACTTTAACTGTCTTCCCCGATTCTTCTCTCCTCTTACCCGAACCATCTTGTTCCTCTCACCCAACAGAGACCACAAACCACCACTTTCCCATACATTTCACTAGGATAGCAAATGAGCATAGATTCTCAAATGAAGACAATGTACCCGAAAAGCTAAAAAAAACAGAGACCATTTAATTTAAACCCTCACAGCAAAAGAGAGAACAGAAAACAAATTACTCCTTCCTTCCTCTCCTCCTTCCTCTGCTCTCTGTTCCTGTTCTCGTTCTTCTTCTCGATATCTCCTTCTTATCCTCTAATTCTCCTTCTGATTCTCCAATTCCAATCTCAACTCCGATGCTTGCTTCATCAATTCGCCGGGAAACATGGAATTGGCGGCATGCAAGAAGGAACGGCGACGAAGACTCGGCGCAGATCTAGATTCTAGGTGGAGACGACAAACCCAGCTGTCGTTCGTATCGAAGTTTGGGGAGAAGAGCTCAAGGTTGATAGTCGAGGAAGGGGATTCAAGAGGCAGAATCTGGAGATGGGAGGTCGAAATCCCTCCTCCTCCTAATCAAATCTGGCGAAGGATGTTGAACGGCCTGGAGGCGACTAAAGGGGATTGGAACGAAAGGGGTGCCACCGGTGGTGGGAGTTGGGGGAAAGCAGCAGATGGGGTAGTACCGATGGAGGGAGAAGTCGGGGATATGTTGGGAGCTGGATTCGGAGCAGGGTGAGAGGTGCCAGACTCTCCGTAAAGCAAAATCGAGCTGGAACGGAGCAGAGCAAGGATCGATCGAGTATTTGTTTCCCCGACGATTCTCAATCTCCGTCCGACTCCGACTCAGCGACTCCGAGAAGCTCGGGCCGTTTGTTTTATTGGGATTTCCTGGGAACCAACGTGTACCAACTGTCCAGAAGCTGGAGTCGGAGTGCAAGCCAACGTTCGGCTGTGGTGGAGGTTTTCCCCTGCGCGGCTTTGCCTGGAACAAGGTAGCAATCAGTTGGTGCAAAGGAAAAGGTTTCTTTTTTGTTATTTTTTTTTTTTTGACGAAACAAAGGAGAAGGTTTCAAACGCAGCGTTTTTGCTTTGTATAATACATAAAACTTAATGAAAACCAAGTCCTAAATCTCCTATCCTCAATTCCGTTGCGGCGATTAACTGGAATGACCCAGTCGCCGACACCACCACTTCCGCGATTGATCGAGTGTGTTTGCCGTCGACGTAGAATTGGGACTGAATCTCACCTGGCATTCCAATTCATTTCGACTTGTTGCTTCTTCACGTATCCGGGATCGGGAGTTGTCAAAGGTAAGAAACACACCTTGCGTTTTTCCTTCCGGTGTGTGTGAACTGCTCCTGAATTTTTTTCTTGGTTTCCCTCTGATTTAGTGATTTTGAGCATGGGGCTTTGTTGATGTATGGGCAATGGTACTGTCTCTTCCTCTGTCTATTTTAGGGTATTTTTAGTCTCAAAGGAGTAAGCATTGCCCTCGTTGGCTTTGTGATTCGTTCGTGTTTCTCTCTTTTCGTTTATTTTTGGAATTATGAAGTATTAAAGTTGCTGATTGCACAGAAATTATTTTGTTTTTGGCTGTAAAATAGGGCCATTCTCATATAGGTTTTGCCTTTCACATTGGCAAAGCTGTGAAATTGAACCTCCGAAAAGATGCATTGTATTTGTGTATTCCGCTCGTTGGTTAGACAAACCCAGTGTTCCAGTTTTTTCTTTGTGATGTTCGTTTATTTAGTTAGACCTGCTTGTTTGCTTGAATTTAATATGAAACTATCTATCTCAAAAGACTGGAGCCACTTTAATATGTGACCTGGTAGCAATGATTTATGATGGTTTTTGAAGCCAGAGTTGTCTCAGACCGGATGTCTTCCTTTTCTGTCGTTTTTCCTACCTATAAGACATAAAAGATTCTGTCTTTACTTGTACATGGTTTTTATGTAGCTTTTCTCTTACCTACAACGCAATCATTGAAACCATATTGGCTTTTGAGGAAAAAACAAAGAAAGTTGAAAGTGGAAGATGGAACCCACCAGCAGTACTGCACCGACAAGCGACAGGTTAGTCATCCGTAAATGTGATTTTATATTATCAACAGATCGGCTCACTTTAATAGCCATTTTTATTTCAATTTTTTACAGGAATGACCTTAGGGTAGGGCAAAATGTGGAGGAGACCTTTTCTGGAATGGAAAAAGGAGTAGAAGTTGAACAAGGTCGTGTGAATGAAGAGGGAGAAGGAACCGCACAATCTGTGACAAATGAGAATGGGGAAGAAGAAGAGACTGAACAATCTATTCATGTTGACGATGTGAATGAAGAAGAAACCGAACAATCTATTCATGTTGAGGAAGAAGAATGGGAAAATTTATCGAAGTTGAAGGCTACTGATGTCTACAAAATGACTTTTGGTAGTTTGCAGGATGCTGAAGCTTTCTATAGGAGATTTTCCAGAGCAATTGGGTTTGGAATTAGAAAGAGTAATACTCGGTATGATACAAAGAAAGAAATCGTGTCGCGCAAGTGGGTTTGTTCTAGTGCAGGTTTCAGACTAAAGAAAACTACAGACAGAAAAATAGAACCAAGGGTAGTAACGAGGTTTGGTTGTGAAGCTTATATGCTTATCACTTTGAAGAAGAAGAAGGACATGAGATGGCATGTTACTCGGTTTAGAAATGAGCATAATCATCAATTAGCTCCCTACCATCAAGTCCATCACCTTAGATCACACCGTGTGTTGAGTAAAGCAGATGCATCACTTGTCTCAAGTTTGAAATCTGGCGGTTTGAGGCCCTGTCAAATCATGAATGTTGTGTCCAATGCAGCTGGTGGGTATGCTAATGTGGGGTATACGAGGCAAGACGTATATAACTATGTCGATAGATGCCGAAAAGAAAACATCAGCAACGATGATGCTACAGATGCACTGAGTTACTTGAGTTGTAAAAGCTACAATGACAATGGGTTTTTTATGAAGTTCAAAGTTGGTGATGATTCGAGACTGGAGAAGTTATTTTGGGCGGATAGCATAAGCAGGCTAGACTTTGGATGCTTCGGTGATGTGTTATCGTTTGACACTACATACAAGAAAAATGCGTACAATATGCCTCTAGTGATCTTCTCAGGTATATTATTGGAATTACAAGTTTCTTTGTTTTTTGAATTATTGTGATGCTTTAATTTCAATCTACATATGTTTGTTCAATATTGTAAAAAGTTCGGTAATCTAATTAATTTGTGCTAACTTTAATTTGACATTACATTTTTCGTTTGTAGGTGTAAATCATCACAACAACACGTGTGTGTTTGCATGTGCACTCGTGAACAATGAAACTGAAGAATCTTATAATTGGGTGTTAGAAGCCTTTGTGGAAGCAATGGGTAAGAAGCCTAATGTCGTTGTTATAGATGGAGATAAAACTTTGAATCAAGCTTGTACAAAAATGATAAAGCACAAAAGTGATAATCAACTAATTACTCAAGTGAAAAAAAAAACAATTAGTTAAGCATGTTCATTATGATCATTGGCTGTTGACTACTGAATCAACAAAACAACAATAAATTAACAGCAAGACATTAAAAAATGTCGAGGTCTGGGATCAATCGCCTTAGCCAAGGAAAATAAATAATCGATGCCATCAACAGCAAAATCTGTTCCTACTAAGAATAAAATGAAGGTTTTAGCTTACTACAGGTTAGACATCATCGTTGCTGAAATCCCACCAATTACTCTTCTTCAAGAGAATCAAACAAAGTTCTACTCTAAATCAGTCTAAGCCATACCACATCTAACAGCTACAACAATGTACACCTGATTAGCCATACAAATTGTAAAAGCATAGGAGACGGATAAGTGATAAAATTCACAATGAAAAATACAAATTCTAATACAAATTCACTGAAAAATACATACCGCCTCGCAGTCACGAATGTCAGTACAGTATAGCGTTTTCACGTGCTCCAAGCTGATGAAGCTTCGTAGGTCGTCTCTATTTCCAGAAGCTTTCGCCTAATGCAATAAGATGATCAGTCAAATGAAAATCTCAATGCCACAAGCAAAATAAATGTCATACCGCAAATGTAACGGGCAGAAAGGCGCATTCCCTTTTTGGTTTGTCCTTTTTGGTGCCAAGATGGATCAGCTTAGCTCATTACTTTATGTTTCTTTTCCTTTGAATAAAGCCCCGTGTCACTCTTGTTCGCGGGCAAAACAGTCTCGTACTTCATTTCCTACTAGTGCTGTTCGAACTCAAGGATGCTTTGATTTGATTCATATCGACATTTGGGGTGGTTATAAAGTCCCCTCTCTTAGTGGGGCTCATTATTTTCTTACGATTGTGGACGATTTTAGTCGGGGTACTTGGGTTTATTTGTTGCGTTACAAGTCCGAAGTTGGCCGTTACTTGATGTTGTTTGTTGAGCAGGTGCAGACTCAGTTTGGGCGCCGTGTCCGCCGCATTCAAGCTGATAATGGGACAGAGTTTAATACTCACATTTTACAGGATTATTATGCTCGTACGGGCATCGTTCTGCAGACTTCATGCACCGACACACCACAGCAAAATGGTGTTGTGGAGCGCAAGCATCGTCATCTCCTTGACACGGCCCGAGCTCTTCGTTTTCAGGCAAGCCTTCCTATTCGGTTTTGGGGTGAATGTATATTGACCGCAGCCTATCTTCTTAATCATATCCCGACTGTTGCCACTGGTCGCACTCCCTTCGAGGTTCTTTTTGGGAAGCCCGCTCCCTATACCCATCTCCGGGTCTTTGGTTGTTTAGTTTACTCCAAGGATACACATGCGTCACTGGATAAATTTGGAGAACGTGGTCGTGCTTGTGTATTCCTTGGCTATGCCTCTAGCCAAAAGGGTTACCGAGTTTATGAGCTCAGCTCTCGTCGTATTTTTACCTCGCGTGATGTTGTTTTCCACGAGGACGTATTTCCTTTTCAGCAAGATCACCGTCCGGATTTCCATTGGGTCCCTCGGTCGATTCTTGAGGTTCATCCAGAGGATAATGGTTTTTTGCCTTCACCCCATGCTGCTTCTGACCCAGTCTCCACGCCCGACGTTTTGGACTCACCCGCTGCTGTTCCACAAACGGAAGCTTCCATTGATTCACCTCCTGTTGTGGTTCACTCCCCTGCTCAGCCCGCTGGTGTTGAGGTTGCTGCTCCCCCTCCACCTGCTTCACCTAAACCTCCGCCAGCTCCAACTCGCCGCAGCGATCGCCCGCGCCAACGTCCTCGCCATTTGGACGAGATATATGATACGCCGGTTCTTCCTGGCCAGCGTCCTTCGCCTCCCGAGTCCAGCACCGCATCCGCAGCTAAGTATCCTATTTCCGACTTCCTTTCTTACGATGGTGTTCACCCTTCTTATTATGCCTTTTTGGCAGCTGTGACATCTCACCATGAGCCCCGTTCCTTTCGACAGGCTGTCCTCGATCCTCGCTGGCGTGAAGCCATGTCAAAGGAGATTTATGCACTTGAACTTAATGGTACGTGGACATTGGTTCAACTGCCCCCCGGCAAGCGGGCCATAGCACCCAAATGGGTTTACAAGATCAAGTTCAATCCCGATGGCACGATAGAGCGTTACAAGGCTCGTCTGGTTGCCAAGTGTTATACTCAGATCGAGGGCGTTGATTTTCATGATACCTTCGCTCCTGTGGCCAAGTTGGTCACCGTTCGTTGTCTCTTAGCTGTGGCTGTCAGTCGTGGCTGGTTTCTCCATCAACTCGACGTCAACAATGCTTTCCTCCACGGTGATCTTGAGGAGGAGGTTTATATGCAAATCCCTCAAGGTTTTGCCAAGCCAGGAGAGACTCGAGTCTGCCGTTTGAACAAGTCTCTGTATGGTCTTCGCCAGGCTTCTCGAAATTGGTATCATAAATTTACCGATGCCCTTTGCAGTCTTGGTTTTCGTGCTTCTCCGGCCGATCACTCTATGTTTATCTTTCGGCGGGGGAGCACATTTGTCGTTGCCTTGATTTACGTGGATGATGTTCTGCTCACTGGTAATGACCTTACCTTTATCAACAAGGTCAAGTCTTCTCTGGATGTTCAGTTCGGCATCAAGGACCTTGGAGAGGTCCGTTACTTCTTGGGCATGGACTTCGCCCGTACCACTGATGGTGTTGCCCTGTGTCAACGTAAATATGCCCTTGACATTCTCGCTGACGCTGGCGTTTCCGGAGCTCGGCCGAGTGCTTTCCCAGTTGAACAAAATCATCACCTGACTCGTCCCACTGTCTCAGGTGATGTTCTCGCCGATCCGTCTGCTTATCGTCGGCTAGTTGGGCGTCTACTTTACTTGACTGTCACGCGTCCCGATCTTACCTATGGAGTCAACATTCTTAGCCAGTTTGTGTCTGCTCCTCGTCAAGATCATATGGATGCTGCAGTTCGTCTTCTTCGGTACCTGAAGTCTACTCCTGCCCAAGGTCTTTTTTACCCCGCGTCAAACGACCTCACTCTCACAGCTTATTGTGATGCGGACTGGGGTGGCTGTGAAAGCACCCGGCGTTCGTCCACTGCTTACTTCATTAGTCATGGAGGGGCTCCTGTTTCTTGGCGTACTAAAAAGCAACGAGTTGTTGCGCGTTCTTCTGCTGAGGCCGAGTACCGTGCTATGGCCAGCACGGTTAGTGAGATTGTGTGGCTTCGATGGTTGCTCAGTGAGCTTGGTGCTACCCAGACACGGGCTACCCCGTTATACTGTGACAATCAGGCGGCTCTTCATATTGCTGCCAACCCTGTGTTCCATGAGCGTACAAAGCACGTGGAAATGGATTGTTATTTTATTCGCGAGCGGGTACAGTCTGGTGACGTTTTACCTCTCAAGGTCAGCTCTCACCTTCAGCTCGCTGACATTTTCACTAAGGGCCTTGGAGCGGAACGTTTTCGTTTTCTTTTGTCCAAGCTGAACGTGCGTAACCTCCACGCTCCAGCTTGCGGGGGAGTATTGGACAAGGCCCACTCGAGCTCCTCGGCCCATTCTCATCACATCACTAGTGCAGCCCATGCACTCCATGCGGGTGACGTTCCCAGTACAGAAACCCTAGTAGCTTATTGTAAACAGGGATATATATGCTTGTGTACTGATCGGCTTCGGCCATAACATTGAGATATCAAATAATAGCTGCAGCCGGAGAGCTTAAACTCTCCCGTGGATTAGTCTCGATCATCATTGATCGAGGATACCACGTTAATTCTTGTGTCGTTTATATTCCGCACTACGATATTTTACATCTCATGTCAACTTTTCGACAACAGTGTCCAGAATCTGTAGTTCACCAGATTAATTATAGATGGGTTTTCGTAGGTTACTTTGTAAATGTATATCAATGGCCAAACATGCAGAACTTACCAACGTGCTCAACGTGCTCAGTGGAGATTTAGGTGCAAGGGTCAAAATATCCTCCCTAGTTAGAAAGGTGCAAATTATCATGGCGATCTTCTCATCACTAATGAACAAAGCAATAATTCAAGTTAGAGTCACAGAGACAAAAGTACTTAATAAATTGAAAAAGATTAAGAAATAATTATCCTCCCTCTTTGCCGGTACGGAATACATAGTCCACTAACATGCTGTCCTCGGGACTGACATGAATCCCCACTGTGAAAGGCCCAGCTCTACATTTTGTAGTCTTTTTCTTGGGTTTGGTAATATCCGGAAACGCTGGCACCTTCAATTTTCCACCCACGGAACGAGCACTTGCACGTGCACGGCGTACAGGTTTGCTATTTCCCTAAAGTGTAATGATAATTAGGGTCAGCAAAGAAGGAAATAAAAAGCATACATAGCCGTGTAAAAGAAACTCACCCCGTCTGATTGTAAAGTCAAGTCGACATACTGGCGTTCCCTTCTTTGTCTCAATGAACTTCTGAACCTCGGTCCTCACTGCATCCAGCAGATCTGTCTTCAGGTTTTTGATTGCATTGTTCACGCAACGAACCTGTTTAGACAGATCTGCAACCTCATCACTCAGGGTACCCCCTAAGTTCTGTAACTTCCGCTTCAACCACTTCAGTCGTCTCTCTCAAAAGTTTACAATGCTCATAACTCCTCCCTGTCAGATCCAATAAGTCCTTGGCTAGGTCATCAAAACGCCTATCAGTTTTTCTGAACATCACCGTCACTCCCTCATAAACCTCTCTAATCAGATTCTCAACCTTCTCGGCATTCTCCTGCATCCTAGAAAACAAATAATACAGATTCGTAAAAAAAAGACCCATTTTCCAACACAGAAGTGAACATTGCTCGCATCATATTCAAAAATTTGATAATACATAAAATTTGAAAAGTTGCTGATATGAAGCTCACCAATGTATTCTTCGAAGAATTCCCATTGAGGCCATTAGTTGATTCACTTCCCTTGTCCGCACCCCCCATGTTTCCAGTTACTATCCAACTACATAGTACACATGCACAAAAAATACGATTACACACAAGACCAGCAAAAGGGGCAAAGGAAGAACAGAATAAACAATGAATTAATATACAGGGGAAACTTTAATGAGAATGAAGAAGGGAAGGGAACGTACTAGTTTGCACACAACAGAAACACAGAATTAGATTCACAACACTATTCTTATTCACGAAAGAGTTTATAACACCCGTCCAAAGAAACTGTTGTCCCATTTGAGTTTGAAAAGGACTTCTACGGATCTGAAAATCTGTATGCATCTCCAATATCTCAATTTAAAATTTAAAATAGATAAACTCTAAAATTAAAAATAGATAAAATCTTTATGTTTTCGCATTTGAGTTTCTGTAACTAACTTAAAAAAATATTATATTTGAAATTTGGTACTGCTACACTAAAATGCTACACTAAAATCGGACACAATGAAACAATAAATCAGCAAACCACATCACACAGACCTAATCCCTCCTTCTTAACAGCTTAAGATGAAGAAAACGTTTTTTATTTGAGAGGTAAAAGTCGGATACATGACAAAAATTGGATAAACATTGGATAAAAGTTGGATACATTTGAGTTACTGCTACATGACAAAAATTGGATAAAAATGACTAGCAAAAATAAGGGAAGTCAAAATAATCATTCAATTGAAGGACCACTGCAGACCAGGAGCAAGAATAAACTATTAACATCCGAAGAGCATAATGGACTATTAACAATGTACAAAGTTTGAGGTTATCTCAACAAAAAGATCTGGATAATGGTGCTCTCAGCCAAGGAAGTTTCATTATAATAGTGGTGTGGACCCAGTTTTACCATCTAAAATTCAATCATTAATGAGTTGAGCAGCCGCGAACATTAGTATATATGATCATGCAAGATAAGATGGAATCAGAAAGAACAATAAATCAACAAAACTAGCAAAGGGAAGCAACCTTTTGGTTAGAGAATTATTACTGCTACTACCAGTAGGTAGTACCAAGATTACAAATTACATGAAAATCAAACCCATTAACAGCTATAATGTACCAAGTTCTCTATTAAGAACAGACAAACTAACCTTAGCTGATGCTTCACCAGGGCTTGAATTCTTCCCAGTGATCGACCTTCGCTTCTTACCTCTCTGGAACAGAACATAGGATAGTAACTATTACCAGTGGAAAAGAAACCCAAACTAGGTATAACAGACAAATGATTATAAGAAAGGAATACCTGTTCCTTATCAGCGAGCAAAACATCAGTTGTAGCATGTGGGGATTCCAAGAAGTCCTTGATTCTTACAGTGAGTTCTACCTGAAAACATTTCCAGACAACCAACGAATTTATAGGTACCCAAAAGAAAGCAATAACATTACCAATCACAACTGACCTTTATCACTGTGGCTTTAGTTACTTGAATATTGAGCACATCACAAAAATCTATAAGCTTTTCCTTTACGCACTTGTCAAGCTTCTCCTTAACTTTTGACTTCTGTTTTTCCTATTGTGAGAACAAGAAATCATAAACCACAATCAATTTCAAGCTTAAGACTAAGCCTTCGCATAAAGAGAATTCTATCCCAAAATTTAAGTTAAATGTATAACTCAATAGATACACACCACCTCATTACCGGTCCAAATGAACCCGGAAAATAGACCAATATTTTGCTTCATATTTCGCACCTTAAGAAACAGTAAAATTAACACAATCACAACACCATAGATAAGGATAGCTGACACTCCTACAAATAAGACAAGAGAAATGAGAACCAACAAGTCAGCTGCATTCATCTACCACAAGAACTTGATCTCAGTATGCAGAACTTCACAAAATGTCTACATGGAATTATAGCTATATGCTAAATTTGGTGTCCAAATCATCACATGTATCGTGCATCTATCACATCAGTAGTTACTAGTATTAAGACCACGAAGAACTTCTCATAGATCTCACTAGATGCATGAAACTGAATTGAATTAAGGCCTAAATAAGAGAATGAGCACATACCTCCAATGCTGCATATACTGCCACAAACAAAGCATATCCAGCTGGTCCATAGCCTGTTCACAAGAAAACCAAAGAACTTAATACGAAAAAAGGCTTTCTTTAATGAGTAGACGTGAAGAATTACTGAGAAACTTCCATGCCACACAATTTAGCAAAACATCAAACTGAATCGACCATGGAATAGCAAAACCAAAAGATCAATAAAAGGGAAGGGAATTATAGGCAGACTGGAGATCGGAAGGTAATTTACATTGCAAACTAGTCCAAACCATTCTCGTGTTGCACTTCCTACTGTAAATATCCATCCTTGAAGTTATCAATAAAAATTCTACCTTCTCGCCAATGAAAGCTCGAATTCTTCAAAGAAAAATAACTAAACTGAAAGGGAACTGCAGCTGCCATCCATTTTCACTAGCTCAATGCTGGAACTGAGAACGAGAATCAAAGGATAACAGTTGACGCAGTCCCCAGACTTTAGATCAACTGGCAACAAAAAGCATTCTCCACCGACTAGTTCAGGACTTCCCAAGAACTCCCCAATTCAAGAAAATTCCCTAAAGTGACACTCTTGCATTCAACTACTGATTCACACCATGATGCACAAATTCTTCGAATCACAGAGCACTTCGAAGCAAGATGACTGATTGGAGCCAAAAATGACAAATAAATGATATAGATGGAAGCAGAAACCTGAAATCAGACTGTTGTAAAACACTACGTTGGGGCCAGCAAGGTTCTTTAACACCAGATACGGGTAACAGAACAAGAACCAGGTTGAGCTCAGCTCCGATTAGAACATTTCCCAGGTAAGTGCCTTCTCCAACCTTGAGAACTCCAAGTCGTCTTTCCAGTACTTGACTCCCTCTCACAGTGACAGGATGGGCTAAATGCCATGCACCCCTGATACTCCAGCCTTAGGTAACCTAATTCGTCAGATTTGGATTGCCGATCCTGCTTTAGGACCAACAAATCGACAAGCACTCTTCAAGTTTTACCCTAGATTCAGAATTGGGAAAATTCCCTAAATTCAACAAACCTTAATTTGTGCGATTTTCTTCCCAAATGGACTACATTCTTGACTTCATACCTGGGAAAGGGAGAGGCTGCTCTTCGACGACAGGAGGAGGGACTTGGTGGCAATGGCTCCTGGCGGTGACTGCTGATGATTGCCTGCGGGACGAGCCACCAAACTAACAGGCGGCGGTGCGGCTGGTTGGCGCGGCCGAGAGAGCATGGAGAGAAAGGGGTTGCGACCGCTGAGGTTGGCAGGCAGGGCGAACCACTAAAGAAATCGGCAGCGGGCGGTCGTCGATTAATGCGGGAGGGCGCATTGGAAGCAGAGGAATGAAGGAGAGCCCGTGCTCCCTTGTCATTTTCCCCAATTTTTCTTTTCGCACAGGGATGAAGCTCGGTTGTGGAGGGGGAATTTTTTTTTTTTTTTTTACTGGAAGTGGAGGGGGAATTTTCCATCTTTGGCTTTTGGGTAAACACGAAAATGTGGAGGGAGTTTTTCACTTTTTTCCCTCCAATATTTTCATTATCTTTTTTTTGGTTCTAATACTTTCATTACCATATACAGATAACCCGCCTAAATTTGTTGACGGGTCGTGAAAATTTACTATACACATTTTTTAAATTGGACTGGTGCGCCAAATTCTTGATTAATTGGTAGCACATTAGTTTTGTAATTACGCCATCTTTTACAAATTGTATTGACCAATTTGATTAACCATCTAAATCGTACATCAAGTTGTATTTGCACCATCACATGTGTGGACAATCATGACAAGTGTGTGTGAATGTCCACCGAAAGATACATTGGCTCAACTCGAGTGGCTAAACCTCATAATCTATCCAATAATGTCTCTCTTTCTATAGCATTCATTGTGTCAAATGTAATACAAATCTACCTAACCTCCTTTATAGGACACCCATGCTCGAAATAATAAAGTTTGCATTGTAGTTACAACTTATCTAAACCAAGAGTTTGGAGATTATCCAAGTACCAACGACGAGATTTAGTGACAAAAGAGGTCGCTTTCGCTGTGACGTCTCTACTGTTATGTCCACCCAAATTGATAACAACTCACTAAACCATGTTGGAAGCGTGCACCATGACCGATGTTGAAAAAATGCTAGTATCAGGCAATGACATTTAGCGAATGAAGCAGTATTGTGCATGTGGTAATGATAGTCTTTTGTACTTGAATCGAGGGTTCCTCTTTTATGAGTAATGGGGAAGAGGATCGAAACATGCAAATTAATGACTCCACTAATACAAGGATGGATTGTGTTGAACATAGAAAATGTGGGATGGGCATTTGGTCAGCTCTGGTATCAACGCTGCCGCTTTAGGAAATGCGGAATGAACCTTTCAATGGATGACCTACTTGGTCACCGTCATTCTTGGCCTGAATGATGTACTCATTGTTTCATACTCAAAATCTATCACTTGATCTTCATATGAGTTAAATTAGCTTGATTACTTGTGGTCTACTTTCATTCCATGTTTCACGAAGAACAATCCAACGTTAATTGTCGAGAGAAGTTTAAGGGTGAAATGGAGGAGGTTTTATAAGAACTTTGATGTTAAATATGGGGACGATCCATTTGGACCTCCTTTACTAAATACTAAACAAGTTAGTCGAGTAAGCTCGAGAATGTGATGTGAGAAAACATGAAGAAACATGGTTTGTGTTTTTAAACGGGATGACTGATTTCGGGTTGGTTGATTACGGGTATACTATCGAATCTATCCCAAAAATACCTATCGATTTTTGGTCTTATCGTGTTACGCTCTTTCATACAAAATAGCTTACATTGGGATTACTTTTTCCGATTTTTTGCCTCGCTAACATGATAATTATGGACTCCATCGTACATACTATCAGTACCATAAATGATAATTTTAAAATTGAACAACAAATTACTTGTAGTCTTATGAAAATTATGTGTCGTTGACAACAGACATAAATTTGAATTACATATGCTACCACTTACATATATTTTTTTACCTTCACGCAATCTATTACCCAAGGTTGGATAATTGTTTCCAAATTTCAGAACCGAATGATTCATACCACATTCAACTAATTTTACGAATTAAAGTTTAAATCTAAGGTCATAAGAGATCGTTATTTTTACAGGGGGCAAGCGGCCAACTAGTGGTACTGGTTTAAGTTGCTTACTTGGGTGATGGTTGATCTTGTTACGAGGTTCAGGTCTACGTACAAACACCTTTTTTTGCTGATTTGGCTCGATATTATTAAAATCAAAACAGGTTGTCACTGGCACAAGTGTTGGGCTACTATTCTAGTGGTTTAAATCCCTGGCTATGTTAACGAATTAATTAACAATCATGGTACGAACCTGGCGAGGTGGGTTCTAATTTTCATACATACATTCTTTTTGACGAAACTCGGGCCTTTATACGTGCGGGCTTAACATACAAAAAGAAACCCAACTGCACACATTATATTTGGTGAAACTCGGGCCTCTATATGTGCTGGCTTCACTTACAAAAAGAAACCCCACTAGCCAAGCAGGATCACGAAGCCCATAAACATAATTACATGGGTCAGCCGATAAATTTTCGATCAAACACACCCTTTGCCCTTCTTCAACCTCATTATACTTCTGTTCTTTCATTCCTAAACGATGTTTCCAGCATATGTACTACCTAAAATTAGTGCAATTGTCGCCTGTGTACCGCCCCAGTCCCAATCTCCACAAAAAACAGTTTGTGTTCACTATCAAACTTCAATTCTCGACCACCCCACGAACAGACGAAACGCAACACAAATCCGGCTAGTCGCCTCCAGGCCGTTCAACTTCCTTCGTTCGTCGATCCGCTCCGTGGTCTGCAACCCCTACAAAATAAAAACAGCGGAGTAATTCAATTCAATAAACAGGACCTTCCTCCCTTGATCGGCGGCTTCACCAGATTTGATTAGGAGGAGGAGGGATTTCGAGCTCCCATCTCCTGATTCCGCCTCCTGAATCCCCCTCCTCAACAATCAACAATTCAACCTTGTGCACTTCAGTCTTCTCTCCAAACTTCGATACGGCGGTAGCTGGGTTTGTCGTCTCTATCCAGAATCTAGATCTACGCCGTTGGTTTTGTCCTCCTCGAAAGATGCTCTGTTGCTAGTTGGTGGCCGATGGTTTGATTGAAGGGGGCAGGTTGGGGAAACGCTGGATTACATTGAAGGGGAGTCAGGATCGGATATTGGGTCAAGGTCGGAGATGGATCTTCCTTTCACGATCACAACTCTTCCCCCACCACCCCCGCCAGCTCGTCCGTCTCCGGACCTATTTCTGTGGCTAATCCTTCCGGCAACTTCCCCGTCGGATTCATCTTAGTCTTCGTCGCTGTTCCTCCTTGCATGCCGCCAATTCCATGTTTCCCGGCGAATTGATGAAGCAAGCATCGGAGTTGAGATTGGAATGGGAGAATTAGAGGATAAGAAGGAGATATCGAGAAGAAGAACGAGAACAGGAACAGGGAGCAGAGGAAGGAGGAGAGGAAGGAAGGAGTAATTTGTTTTCTGTTCTCTCTTTTGCTGTGAGGGTTTAAATTAAATGGTCTCTGTTTTTTTAGCTTTTCGGGTACATTGTCTTCATTTGAGAATCTATGCTCATTTGCTATCCTAGTGAAATGTATTGGAAAGTGGTGGTTTGTGGTCTCTGTTGGGTGAGAGGAACAAGATGGTTCGGGTAAGAGGAGAGAAGAATCGGGGAAGACAGTTAAAGTCAGGGGCCTAGTTGCAATTACAATTAAGTACAAAATTGTTTTAATAAATATAATATAGTTGATTAGTTAATAATTAATTATAAATAAATGAAATTATTGTAACCGTTAGATGTGTTCAATGGTTGAGATTAAACAAAAAAGTGTGTGCGTTCAGTGCACCCAAAAAAGTGGGTGCACCGAAGACGCCACCATATATATATATATATATATATATATATATATATATATATATATATATGGATTCGACTCGTATGCGCCTCACACATAGTATGCGACAGATCTTTGCATCGTTGATCTAATCTAACGGTCATTATAAATTATATTAAAATCAATAATTATAATTACTACTTGCACCCCTTAAATAATTATACGTGGTATAAAGTCCTCCAACAAAGATTATCGTTATATTTTCTCATACGATACCGTATTTCGTAAGCTTCTTAATTGAACACCCAAAATTCTATAATTGATAAAAAAAAGAGGTCATTATAACTTGCTCTAATTAATGGATCTTCATCATCCCACAGTCCAATTCGACCCCATCGTAATCATCTGTTCATCATAACTTCCCCAATAGCTAGCCCTCAATTTGACCATCATCATCAAAACCTAAACCCTAGAGGCGATCTAAATGTAATTCGTCAAATTGATGTTTAATTCTTTTGATTATGCAGAGTTGAGCTTGCTCCCCTCGTCCAACCCAAGAATCGAGCTCGTCCTCGGCTGTAGACTGGTCATCAACTCCACCGCATCTTCCCCTGTTTCAGCTCATCATCTACTTTTAAAATGGCAGCAGACTGCTACCCTTTCGCGAAGAATCGAAATCAGTTGACGGTGAAGGCCTATGAAAATTACGTGCGTGACTGGAGAGGATTATGAGAAATAGCAGAACCATAGTTGCAGTTTGATTCAATCCTCACCACATACGATTCTCAGTTCTCATCTGTTGTTAAACTGACTACAGTAATCGAAAGTCGAAACTCTCAAATGATAAGGAATCCCAAGACGATTGAATCATCATAAAAAATCAAAGGCGAAACATCCTCCACAGAACAGAACAGAGACTGCAACAGTTTCTTGTATCATTGCTTTAAGCACATGAAATACAGTAGCTAATCCAATTTATTACTCCAGTGGTTCACCACATCTAAACTTCGTAGCTGTGAACCATGAGCAGATCATAAAAGGAAAAGAGTCTGAAATATGTGTCAAGACACCCGGATCCAAAAGACAACTCGCACCTGCAAAGAAGAGAGAAAGAAGAGACTGATCAAATAATAGTGATGACTACAGTCAGGAAACAATTGAGAGTACAGAATGAATTGATTCTTGGTTATTATGAAGGGATGGCGCATTCATCAAAGAATCGTCTCCACTAATCCCATCAGTGGCCAACGAGAAACAATACTTGCAACCCTCAACTCTTTCTACTATCAACACCTGTAGATCATTGAGTCAACAAAACAAATTCAGTTTGGGAGTGATAGATAACACCTATTATTTCAAATTAGGGGAAGGATTAATACCCAGGTTTCTAGAATCAAACTCAACCCTATCCTTTAGTTAGTGTACTTCTCATCGTAAGTGGGTTGGAAACCCAAACTTACAACATCGCCAAAGACAAACAGACTGATCTCATTCCAAGGCGCATCGTCCCAGGAGAACTTGTCGCCACCCCTCTGTCCTGGATTCCCGAAGCCACCATAAAGGCGGTAACACCATTACCAC